ACCCCGACACAAGACGATCTCTTAATGCGTTGTCAAAAAATGATCCGAAATTACATGTACTGGCCAAGGTTTTAATCACAGTAATATAGTCTGTAATGGACTCTCCAACTCGTTGTTTCCGCAAATTAAAAGTATACCGCTCAGAAATAACTTTTTTGACTTTAGTGTATTTTTTTGCTAATGCTTCAGTACACTGACTATATGTTGCTTTCTTGAACTTGATAGAACTTAATAAAGATTTGAGTTCTGCATAAATACTGGGCTGCAAATTAACACACAGATGACTTTTTTTAAGGTCATCATCAATCTTTTCTATTTTGAAATACAGTTCTAGTCTTTCGATATACAACGAACAATCTTCCTCTTCCGGGAAAAAAACTGGTGCTTTAGACATTTTGAATTAATTATTGACTAAATTATAAAACACACAGACAGACGTTGACAAAATGGACGACATTGACTCACCCACATTGACTCACCGACCGGAGACCGGCAGCTTTCACTTTTATAAAAACTTGCAGTTATTATGACACAATCACTTAATTAAACTGTTTTAAAACACATTTCCTCGTCGCCACTGACGTGTTCTGAAGGTAGACTATAAATAATAAAACTCACATTTGAAACTGCACAACTGAACTTTATTAGGTGATGCCAGAGACAAACATTATTGATATTTTGACTGCCCAGACTGGAATGGCCAACTATCTGAGTATGCCTATCGGTTACCTGGTGGGGGTATACCTATGATACATCAGGCTCCTTCTAAACACTCTGGAGAAAAAAATATTTGCATATGGCCCAGCCCGTTTTGTGGATATCATTTTATCTCCCTCTCCTAAGAATTCACGTCACAGTTTAATCATCTATATCAAACAAGTAAACAAAAAATATCACAACAAATCTTATATCAAATTAATAGTAACAACGCTCGGTACATTACGCTCCGAAAATTTAATAAAATATTTTTGATCGTTGGTTCACCAAGTGAACTGCATATCAGTAAACAAACACCTTTTATGCCTTTTACAATTAAAGGATCCGTTTAGTGTGTCTTTAAGAGTTAAAGGAATTCTTTACAAGTAAATTTTCCTGGAACTGAATATTTTGCTAGTCAGCTGTTTGGTGAGGTAGGTTGGGCATGGCTGCTGCATACTGCTGATTCAAGCATAACAAGCAAAATACCAAAATAACATGTGACGTGTCCTCTAACCATTGACTCTTTCTTTGTTTCTTTCAGTGATGTATTAACTCTCTTAGAACATACAGATTTTGTCCTAATGCTCTGAATATTTGTGTGATTGTGTTAATGGATTTTTATACATTATTCTATTATCAAAGGCTAAGATTGTTGTTGTGCAGTGAATTAATAGTTTAAAATGTATTTTAAATTCTGAAATAGGGGTTTAAACCACTGCAAGGAATAACAATGGGTTCTTTTAAGAAATTTTGTGTTTTACTAAATGTTTGAATTTTGAAGGCTTGGTATGTACAAAATTTTAAGAGGTGTAAAATTGTCACATGAGCAGTCAAACACTAGGACTTAGCAATTTACAATCAATATAGCCTACACCTAGGTATATGTGTTAGCTATAGGTTAGGCTATGTGTAAGGCTACATATGCTTAGGCTCACTCACAATTAATTCAAAGTAGGCTATATACAGTACACTTGCACATTATTTGTTGGGTTGAAAATCTTTTTAAACTGCTTAATTTTCATTTTATAACCACCCTTCTTAGTCACCAATACATATTGTTTTATATATGTCATAGTTAAAAACCAAGAGTTTTTACAAAATCTTAAAGAACCTGTGATTTTAAGAACTGGCAACATAAAACGTATGTTGACAGTGTGTGTTTTTTTTTTTAGGTTATAAACTTATAAAGTAGTCTGACGAAAATTATCGTTTGCACTCATCCAAAATGTTTTTACTATACTCATTAGGTAACACCTATTTCTGGACTAGTAAAACAATATACTATTTGCATTACTCTTGATAGATATGCATTTTTTGTGTGAGGAAAATCATAAAATGTCAAAATCTCTCTTATGACGGAATATACCGAGATTTGGACGTTTTATATTAGGCCTACATCATTAACCATCTAAAGTAGCCAGTCATTACGGCCATTATGGTTTGTGTTAACAGAAGCGGACAAAGAATCAAAATTTGTTGTAGCTCACTTCTTATTGGACAAATAAATATAACTAGATTTTGATTTATGTGAACTGCGTCTGGTGTAAAATTTCATCAAGTCGTCATTTGACATTCCAAACTTGCTGAAATGATGTAAAAGATCATTTCTGTAAAAGTCACTATTTTCAAATGACAATCCGTGTGGAACCACATTATGTTTTACAGTTGTATGCTTGCTGTGATTCAGCCAAAATTAATAAAGTAACTGAAGAAGCATTATAAGTTTAGCAATAGTAATTTACGCAACAATTGCGTAAAGATAGTTTCAACGTCACAAGTAGGAATTTATAAGGTACGAGCCTTGGCGAGTGCCTTAAAACTTTTACAGTGTTGTTAATACTATTTATATGAGTTGCGTACACTACTTTACCTACGACAGTGTTTCTACTACTAAAAATTACAACTCATAACTTTTAAGAGAGGTTGTGTTTTAGTTTATAACCTCTCATTGCCACTGCAAGTGATGCAACAAAACATGTACCAAACACTCTTGCACCACTCAACAATTAAATTGGCCTGATAGCTGATTAGTTGAGGTTATAATCATTACAATTTTACTTATTTTTTCAATCCTTGAACCTCATTGGTCCGTTACCCATGCTGTTATGAAAGTAAACAATGCTGCTATGTGAAACTTTGCAATTTTAAGAACTGAACTGAAACGGCTACGTTATGACGGTCGTAGTTAAATAGTATATTACGTTACTAGTCCTGAAAATAAGTGTTTACCGGACGAGTGTGGTCGTTCCCGTGCGAGACGAAGTCGAGTACGGGATTGCCATACGAGTCCGGTACACACATTTTGGACGAGTTACGTACGATAGTTTACGCCATACTACTAAATCTGTACAAATCCTAATATTTTTCACCAACTAAAGGGCTTAAAGGGCTAAAAATCACTAGTCATAACCTCTATAAGAGAGGTTATGTTTTTGTTTATAAGAATTCATTGCCACCTAAATATAGTATAATCAGCTGATTGGTGTTCGGCAAAACTCATTACAGTACAGTAGTACGCAATGAAACACCATTTGAATAAGCTGGCGGCAAACAGCTGTTTTCTGGACTAAATCCTTGCGTGGGAAGTTCGTCAAAATAATATAGTGTGGCGTAAACTTGTTTACGCCACACTACACTATTTTGACGAACTTTCCACGCAAGGATTTAGTCCAGAAAACAGCTGTTTGCCGCCAGCTTATTCAAATGGGGTTTCATTGCGTACTACTGTTCTGCAATGAGTTTTACCGGACACCAATCAGCTGATTATACTTGTATTTGCGTGGCAATGAGTGGTTATAAACAAAAACATAACCTCTCTTGGAGGTGATGACTAGTGATTTTTAGTCCTTTAGTTGGTGGAAATATATAAGGATTTGTACGGATTAAGTAGTATGGCGTAAACTATCGTACGTAACTCGTCCAAAATGTGTGTACCGGACTCGTATGGTAATCCCGTACTCGACTTCGTCTCGCACGGGAACGACCACACTCGTCCGGTAAACACTTATTTTCAGGACTAGTAACGTAATATACTATTATCTAACTCTAACAACTTTACCTAATATTTAATAATAACATATCGTGAAGTTTCCTGTGTGTGTACACTACTAGGTCGCTGTTTTTTTCACAGCATTCATTACTTTACCTCATTCATTGCCCCCTTCACCTTGCATTACCTTGCTTTACCTTTCATTACTATTGCCTTTATAGGGTTTTGTCAAGTATTCCTACCAAGTGAATTATTGAATAAAAGTTGCATTTTAGTAGTTTTTACGTCAAATTTGGAACAAGCCTAGTTCAAGCTGTATTATTTTAGATTCAACTGTGTTGGTTAGCATGAAATCAAGTAGGCCTAGGAATGGCCCATAACTTTCTTTCATAGATTTTTTTTGCAAAAAATTGCTTTAAGAATAATAATACCTATTTGTTTGACTGTTGCTGGACCAAAAATGTCTATTGAGACTTAAGGAAGGATATAAAAATCTTAATTTGATTGGACTCTAAAAATCTCAATTAATCTGGCGTCCGGTCTAACTAAAGGATAAAAAATGTTTTGTATGCTGTTTTGGCCACCCAGGTATTACCTCGCTGTATTATAGATACAATTTTAAAAACACATGCTGAGGACAAAAATGTAATTATTTTAGTTTTTTGCACAACTCACTTCAAATTTAAAAACCTACCTATTAAATTAACCTACATATTAACCTCTCATTACGGATGTCGTCATTCCTTTTCCAGAAATAAACTCTTTATTGTATGTAAACATTACAGAAATTTTATTTATTTTCATTTGTTCCGTATATGCCTTTATTTAACCTTTTTATAACCTAGAAGTAACCTTCAGGTGTTTTAAGAATTCATACGGCCTCTCAAAGATTGTTAAAATTTACTTTTCAGTACTTCAGTTACTCAAACTAAACTCCTAAAGCTGCCAAAGCTAATGTTCTGCCCGGAAAGTAAACAATAGAAAGCTGAAATATAAAGCAACAGTTATCGATTGGGGATTGTGCTCAATGGTTTAAGACTGCTTTACTCTCACAAGATCATCTGTCATCCTTGTTTGAACTTCCAATTATTACACCTGCATAGTTCAATTGAGTTCACTGTTTCTGCAGAAGGTTCGCTCTGCAGTAATGGATTCTGAAAATATTCTATTACATATTGCAACTGTCCTTAGGTAAATAGCTATGGACAAGGGGCTATGGAGTGGTTGGAATATTCAGAAGTGCAGTGTTATGTTACAGAACTACTCTACAAAATACTGAAGTATAATTTTTGTAAAATTTAATTTTTTTCAGGTTTGTCCACGGAACATGCGACCCTGATGCAGATCTCGTTACATACCAGCAACGCAAAGAATCTGCTCCTGAATACGAATACATATGCCTTAACTGTAAAAATGAACCAAAGAAACGGAAAGACAGTAAGTAACTATTTAAAAACATTTAATATTGATAGTAAGATAATTTTAGGGTGGTAATGAATGTTAAAATGTCCTAAAATTAGGTAATGGTGTTACAATATTGATACCTAAAACACAGAGAAGTAAGATACAGAGGAAACATGCAATATGCAAGAGTTAATTAATAAATGTTTTTCTTACATATATAAAACATTGCTTTTCTGTAATTCAATACCGTACTTAAACTGATTAATTTTAACCATTTAACTAACGAGACCAACAAAGCATTACAATTTGACTGTTCTGAGTCAATGGCCTAATGGAATAAATTTCTTTCACCGTATTTTAGTAGTTTAGTGTTGTTTTCAGTGAACCAATATTTCTAGTTATTTGACAATCTTCCGGACCCGATCAGATGTATGAGTTCTAAATCAGTGCCACAAATTGGCACAGAAACGTTGTCACTTTTGTGAAAATATGTCAGTATAAAATATTATAACTATTGTGTTTGATAAAATGGATTTTTTTCAGGCCTTGATGACTTTTGCATGGATTCTAACATGAGCGCTTCACAAGAGTCACTCGTATTGGATGAATTTGATTTTGACTACGAGAAGGTATGGGTTTATTGTGTTTAAATAATTTGCAAAACACATTTTCTGTATTTTCCTAGCACTTAAATAGGAAAATGCTAAAGTAAATGACCACCTATTTTCTTTTCTTTTTTTTTTTTTTTGCTGTCCAAAGTTATGGTATACTCCTTAGATTGTTTGTTTAAAATCTATGAATTGTACAGGTTGTTCAAATTTCCTGAATCCTAATGTATTTTTCAGGAGGGCTATGGAATGGGAAAGGGCAAGCCTTTTTGTGCCAGTAAAATAGCAAAGAAAAAGTTAGGTCTTGGATATCCTGGGCCAGGAAGACCAGGCAAGTTAGGCAAGATGAGTGGCATAACCTCCGCACTGATGATGAACTACCAGAAGAAACAGCAGAGGTTCAATGAGTTTGGTCGCAAACGGATGCCCAAGTCTAAAATGAGAGGCATTTTTGGTGTCCCAGGATTAGGACTTCAGGTAAGATATTCCATCGAACCTAAATTAAACCTGAATTGGCATTACTTATAAATTTTACCTGCATTTTAATTTTAATTTCCTAAATGCAACTCGATACGAGGTTCCACGCGAATTGGTGTTTATGGATCTTTAGGATTTCTGAAAGCTTGGGACAGGACAAAAACCATTCCCTACCTGTTTTAGAGGAATTAGCCAAGTGACGGTAGGAGGTTGACATTTCAAATGAGATATAAATACATTTATATATCTTGGTTTTGGGAAGTGCACTAGTAAAATTTATTCACTTGAGTTTTTAATCCAGTAAAACTATATTTTCATAACTAATACTCGAGACCTGGCTTTTCTTCCATTCTAAATCTTTTCATTTTAGATTCCAAAAATAATTAATCTATTTAAGGGATGGTGTATTACACGTGGAATACATTGCGTTATTGTGGGATATATTTAGTATAGAACCCATTTTACCATGACTGTCACTGCACTTTGGCTCCTTGCTTCTTTGTTTTATGAATTATATAAGTTAATTAAATTCTACTGATTTGTCTTATTTGATAATTTGATTGTATCGTTTAAAACAATATTACCCTATTTTAATTGATTTTTTTGTTATTACAAAACTTGTTGTCTTATAGACTTAACCTGAGTTGACAAAAGTGATAAATTTTGTTTTTACCCGTTTTGCAGAAACCCCAGGCAGACAACACCAAAGACAAGGTGGCAGCAGACGACGACACGAGTGACAACAAGCTTGTTTTGTGTTCTGCCAAGGACAAGTTTGTGTTATCTCAGGACTCTTGTGTTATGTGTGGTGCGCTCGGAACTGACCAGGAGGGCTGCCTTATCACTTGCGCTCAGTGTGGCCAGTGTTACCACCCTTACTGTGCTAATGTCAAGGTAGGTAATCATCTAGCTATTTTTGTACGTCCCACCTTCACATCCTAGGATGCTAGGCCTCTAGGCCAAAACCCTTTTACACATTACTTCAGGCAAGGCCTAAAGAGCTGCAACATTATCACTTAGATAAAATCTATTGGTGATTAACAAGATTTGAACCCAAGACTTTGGGAACCAAAGTCCTGCAATTTGCCACTAGACCAGCTCGCTCCCCATTGTATTCATTGCAAAGAACTGTGTTGAGACCAAATCAAATAGTAATCTTACTGTAATTATTTACATTTTATTTATTTCCTTCGATATATTTAACTAGGATGAAAGTAGGGATGGACAAGATTGGATTTTTAGTTCGAGACGAGACGAGACGAGATTTTTTATTTCTCATAAAATTTCGAGACGAGATCGAGACGAGATTTCTCTTCTCATACACAACGGGAAATGCACGTTCAAAATTTTTACCTGATTTTGTAACATTGTTAGATGACTGTTTAAATACTAAAATAATGATAATAGGCAAGAATATTTACAATCTTTCATTAAATAACATCAGCATAACATTTTTTTATTAATCACGCCTAACTTATTAAAAATGCCTACGATTAGGAAACATGGTGATATCAGTTAGGATAGAGTTCAACTTATCCTAAAATAAAATAAATCATAAAATAAAAGCAATATTAATTTTTATAAAATAGTTACTTGTTTTGACTTTTTTTATAGTAATAAAACATTCCTCACACTGCTTACACTTAACAAAACTTCTCAAATGTTATTAAAGTAATATTATTAAAATAATTAAAGTAATATTTACATTAAAAGAATTAAAGTAATATTTACATTAAAAGAATTAATTAAATAAGAACGCCTTCGAAAAGGAAACGCAACTACAACACGCTCCTGTATTGCGGGTATTGCATTGACTTTCTGCAGGCGTTTTTAATTTTTTTTTTTTTTTTTTTTTTTTTTTTTATTCTCGTCTTTATAAAAATCTCGGCCAAAAAGTAATCTCGTCTCGTGTAACGAGATTGAAAATTTCCCGAAAATTTCCCGAAATTTCGAGACTTGACCATCCCTAGATGAAAGTAACGAAAACATTTAGAAGGGACTTTCAAATTGACAGATTGCATCCGAAAATAAAATTTGTATTTTTTGTAGATACTTGCCATATCCAATTAACTTATTAAACCCCTTTTCCTAATTATATCCACATTATTTTGGTTGAGCAATATTTTAAAATTGACTTTTGGATACTAGGGAAGTAATCCCATATCTAAACAAACAAACCGTAATTAAATTTTCATTAAAATTAAACACAATTAAGTGAGCCACTCACAGAATGTGCTTCTTTAAAAATTCTCTTTTCTCTCTTAATTTGATTCATCAATAATTAATGTGGCCCAAATTACATTATAATTAAACTTTCAGTTAGGCTTGAATTAAAAGTTTTATTCCATAACTGTTCACAACTTTGAAATAAGATGTCTACTTCTCTCCATAGATCAAGGTGGAGGTGGTGGTAGTTTTCTAGAGGATTGTTTTTAGCAACACATGACTATGTTGTTTACTCTCTGTTTAGGTTACCAAGGTGATACTACAGCGAGGGTGGAGGTGCCTGGACTGTACTGTGTGTGAAGGGTGCGGCCAACGTAATGATGAAGCTAGACTGCTGCTTTGTGACGACTGTGACATATCTTACCACATCTACTGCATGAATCCTCCCCTCACCTACGTGCCTAGAGGGACTTGGAAGTGTAAATGGTACGTCACTGAACAACTTTAATGAGTTACACTTGGCACAATTAAGTACAGTATTTTTTTGCCTGAGGATATTAAGATGTTTTACTATGTTCGATAGAAATTTATCTTTTTCTACTTACTGGAAAGTTTTATCATTACCTTTTCTACTCAAAAAAGTTTATCCAATAAATTTTTTTATTCAAAAGTACTGATTAATCCAGTACACCGATCTGGAAAACTGGGAATTATGAGTTAATTGGTTTTGAATCTCTACCGGGAATTTTCAATTTACCGTGATCGCGCATGACAGCAATAATAAGTGACCGTGGGAGACGATGATGTAATTTTTTTCGCAATCACGAAAGAAGGTGATAATTTTTTCCATTACATTCAGGATTATAATCAGGATTTTGCTGTAACCATAAGAGACGGATGATGTCCACACAACCGCGGTAAATTATATAAATTTTGCCTCGGATCGCGGGAGACGATTGCCTACAAGACCGTGAGGAATGATTAGAATTTTGCCGTGATTGCGGGAGACGATTATAATGTCTACAAGACCACAGAGATGATAATGATGTCTACAAGGCCGCGAGGAATGATCAGAATTTTGCCGAGATCGCGAGACACTATAATGATGCCCTCACGGCTGTGGGACATGATCAACATTTTGCTCCAATCGCAGGAGACAAATATGATGTCCATTAAAACAAAACCAACAAACAAACTTATACAAAGCTTCTATATATACATATTTATAATTTATAACACATTCTCAACAGATAAAGTGAAAAAAGCACTTTTTTAGCAATAAGTAATAATTTCCACAGCTTAAACCCTGCTTTAACATACAAGTACCTTGGATTGTATATTAGAGTTTGTTTTTGTATCAGGTGTGCTCAGTGCCTGACATGTGGCTCGAGTGAGCCCGGAGTTAGCTCGTCTTGGCTCAAAAACTACACGGAGTGTGGTCCATGCGGGTCTCGTACTCAGTGTCCCTCCTGCAGTCAACCCTACGTAGAGTCAGAACTGATCATTAAGTGCATTCAATGTGACAGGTAAGTCGCACATATTCGAGTGCAAAACTTAATTGTTTTGACTTTTTTGTTACAATTTCTCTTGGCTGTCACAGGTAAACCTGGGAAAGGTTGATTGAACCCCACAGATAAATTTGAAACCCTTTAATATTGCAGTAATAAAATAAATCACAATTTATTAGGGATGGACGGGATTGAATTTTTAGTTCGGGACGGGACGGGACGGGATTTTTATTTCCTTCCCGATTTTCGGGACGGGACGGGACGGGATTTTTTTCTGTGCATAAAAAGAAAGTCTTGAGTCTTGCAGTTACCAAAAAAAGGCACACAAAATCAATCTTTACCGTTTGTGGCACTGATCTATAAAAACCAAAAAATGGGTAACAATCTTTCAGGTACCTGTAGAAACTTGTGACTCGCGGTCACGGTGCGATCGTCGGTATTACTCACGGTCACGGCGCGATCGTCAGTATGACTCACGGTCACGGCGCGATCGTCGGTATGACTCCGCGGTCACGGGGTGATCGTCGGTATGACTCCGCGGTCACGGCGCGATCGTCGGTACGACTCACGGTCACGGCGCGATCGTTGGTATGTCTCCGCGGTCACGCCGCGATCGTCGGAATGACTCACGGTCACGGCGCGATCGTCGGTATGTCTCCGCGGTCACGGCGTGATCGTCGGTATGACTCCGCGGTCACGGCGCGATCGTCGGTATGACTCACGGTCACGGCGCGATCGTCGGTATGTCTCCGCGGTCACGGCGTGATCGTCGGTATGATTCCGTGGTCACGGCACGATCGTCGGTATGTCTCTGCGGTCACGGCGTGATCGTCGGTATGACTCCGCGGTCACGGCGCGATCGTCGGTATGTCTCCGCGGTCACGGCGTGATCGTCGGTATGATTCCGTGGTCACGGCACGATCGTCGGTATGTCTCTGCGGTCACGGCGTGATCGTCGGTATGACTCCGCGGTCACGGCGCGATCGTCGGTATGACTCACGGTCACGGTGTGATCGTCGGTATGACTCCGCGGTCACGGCGCGATCGTCGGTATGTCTCTGCGGTCACGGCGTGATTGTCGGTATGACTCCGCGGTCACGGCGCGATCGTCGGTATGACTCACGGTCACGGCGCGATCGTCGGTATGACTCCGCGGTCACGGGGTCATCGTCGGTATGACTCCGCGGTCACGGCGCGATCGTCGGTATGACTCCGCGGTCACGGCGCAATCGTCGAAACGACTTCGTCTCCTGCGTTCGCGGACCTATCGCTCGCAATAGCGGCGTCATCGGCACTCACAAAGCGGCAAAATCGCTGGCGATCGGACCAAATCCCGTCCCGAAAAATTCCCGAATCAAATGTAATCCCGTCCCGATAATCGGGAAGATTTTTTTCCCGAAAAATTCCCGAAATTTCGGGACCCGTCCATCCCTACAATTTATAAAATTGTGGCCTCCACACTGTATAGAATAGTTAGATTATCTAAAATTTACTAGAACAAAACTAATAGTACAATAAAAATCGTTCAACTCAGGTTGAAGAATGCTTGAAATAGTGTGGTTGACTAAAGCAATATGGCATCCTACTTGACCCAGCCTGCTGCCTATGCTGGTTCCCGGCTTCTCTCTCCTGCCAGACTGATTACTTGATTCCTTTACTTTTATTTCTCACCCTCTAATTTTAGCCTGACCACATTAAATAACCGATATTGTGGTTTCAATTTCCCTTTTAGTTAATCGGCATTGCTACATGGCTCAACGTTTTCTCAAGCATTTTTTTAAAGTTAAGTGATTACTAGATACTGGAGTACACGTCCATCCCTCGTTGTATGGCTTAGAATAGTGAATCTGCCCTCATGCTTATATTCTTACTACAAATTAAAAGTTAACAAATTTTATGTAGTTGAAAATTAAATATTTGATTTAGGATTAGAATCATTTTTATCAGGAGGAATATTTCTGCCTGGGTGCATGCTGTTCTTGTTTATATGACTTGTATGTTTGTATGTGCAGGTGGTTCCACTGTATGTGTGACAACATTCAGACAGAAGAAGAAGCTGACATGTGTGCTGAGGATGGTTATCGTTGTATGATCTGTCGACCCAAGGATGTCAAGTTGCCTCATCTTTTAGCAGGACCTCTCAATAGGCCTTCCAACACCCCTACACGATCTGACAGTCCAGGTGACAAAAAGTTCAGAATAGTGTAACCTTTTGACCAGGAGTCTAGAGTAACTTATCTTAATTTATTCTTATGACTTTCTATGCAAGTATAACAAAAAATATGGCTAAAAGCAATCATATTTTGAAACCTGGGAGTCCAGCTTAGAATGAATACTCTGGCTTATGATTTTATTGACCAGTGCTGCTAGTGTGGAACGTTATATTTGATCAAAGCTAGGAGAGAGCACCGTAGATCAAGGGTTCAAATCCCATCTCTGTCAGGTCTGGTATGCCACTCTTGAAGACAGTGTTTCCATACTACAATTTTTATACTAAAAACAGAATATTTAGTCCATTTGCGGGATAAGAACGAGATGCGGAATAAAACCGAATTTTTTGCTTGACCTCTAATTTTCTTTTTTTTTACAGATTTTTAGATAAAACCTGTCTCATTTAATTGAATAATTGCAGTATAGTAGCAAGGATTGGTACCTCATTTTAACATAATAGTCAAAAAGATCACTTGAGATGGATCATAATTTTTTATGAAATTCATGCGGGGTAAAACGTGATTTTTCATTACACAATAGTGGGATAAAACTGGATTTTCTCAACCTAAAAAGTAGGATTTTTGTTTTGGCCGTGTGGATACACTGCTCAAAGAGTTCACTTGCCTCTAGAAGAGCTTGGTAAGAGAGGCCAACATAAAATAAACAGCAGACAGCTAAGGTGAAAGATCTCGCATATGTGATATAAACTGATATGTTCAAGAGCATAAATAAATTTTTTGTTGGTGTCATTCAATTTATTAGTGACAAAATAATTAACCCCCCTTCACCTAATTTTTGAGGGTTTATACGGTTTAATATTCTCACTAGTGATGTGTCAAAACCAAATCTCAAATCCATTAAAACTGTAGAAAAGTTATTCTTTAGAGATTTTATCACCAAGTTTCGAGATTCAAAAGTTTCGAAATTGAAAATTTTGGCATTTTGTTAACTGCTGAAATTTTTGGCGCCATTATTATGCACACTGTTTTCTCTCAAGCTGCATAGAGCAAGCAGCTGTTTAGAGCAAACTGATTACCACTAATAGCCTAGTAATGAAACAAGTAAATTGTATTCTAAACTTCAAAAGGCATCGTAAATACAACTGGAACGTACAATTCAGTTTCATTTCAATAGTTACTGAACACAAAGAAATATTGACCACTTAGGGCCGCTTTCCCCAAATCAAGTTTAACTTAATCTCGGTTAACTTTAATCGGTGGGTTAAACTCGGTGGGTTATCAGTGGGGATGGCTTTCCCCACTATTTTGTCATGAAAGTTTAGTTTAACCCTGGTTTAACCTAGATTTCTTTGCAAGCAACAATGTTGGCAACACTGTTATGCAATTTTGTCTGCAATATTAGCTGTTTAGCTCCCCACTATAACATATCTGTCATTAATTTTCTCGTGTTTTGGTTATTTGTATATTTGAATTAAGTTTCGTGTCATTGTCTCCAATTGTTTACATTAAAAAGAAACATTTTTATTTGCAGGCGACTGCTATTATATAAGCATTTCGTTACTTGTGTTTAATTAATCTCAAACTTAATCAAACAGTAGGCCTACTGCACGCATAAAATAAAATAACTGCATTAATTACAATCATGTGAAAATAAAATGTTGGGAAAGACGCAAAATTAATGTTTGTGGATTAAAAACTAGAGCCTAACAGCCTAACCTTTGTAATGACAGGCATAGGCTACTCAGCATTAGATAGTTCGATCAATGTTTCTAAACTAAATTTAAATTTCAGGCCTAGGCCTGCTACAGTAGTTGTTAATTCACACATGATAATAGGCTAGTGGTTAGGCCCGAATGTTAACTAATATTTACTTTTGTGTAACGTAAGAATCGTGTTAAAATAAAATAAAACCAAAAGGCTTATTATGAGCGATTAAACTTTCCAACCAATGTTGCGTTTCTGTTCTGTGGACAAGGTAACCTATCGATTGTACACAACTATAATACTACCTAGGCCTACCGAAAATATAATAATTTAGGCCTACTTTACGCATTTAAAAACCTCAAAACTATTATATCTGTAGCCTTATATTTTTAAATTTGAAATAGTCATGAATTAATTGTCTACATGGGTTCTGGTTTGCTATTTCTTAATTTATTTCCAGTTCAGTTTATTTTTGGTTATGTTTGACAAGACAAACGTCAAACAAGGATATTTTTTGTCATTGTATTTTTTGTCATAGCTGTCTGCCGAACGTAACAAGTCAGCCAAGAGCCAATCAAAATCAAGCTATTCTTCTTCTCTTCTGGTTTAACCCATGAATCGCCAGTTAAACCAGCCTCACCCGGAGGGTTAACTTAAACCTAGTTTAAACGGAGAAATTATTTTGGGGAAAGTGAATCTGAGGTTAAACTAGAGTTTAAACCGCGATCAGAGTTAAACTTGATTTGGGGAAAGCGGCCCTTAATGTTCTAAATCTTGTAATATTCATGTTTATGTTGGTGTTAGGAGTTTAATTTATTTTAATGTTGGTTGTTTATCAAAAATTATGTTGTATTGGGTTTAAGATTATCAGTCATATATTTTTGTTATTATGTCAGGGTCAGGAGTCAATCTCTTTCAGTTTTGTTTGCATACTTCAACATTTTATTATTACCTGTATTTTTTTGTAGCGTTGACCTTTGTAACCAGCTAAGTAAAATAGTTTCGTGTTTAGGTTTTGAGATTCGGGATTCAATTTATTTTAAGTTTCAGTTTCGGCTTTGAGATTAGAAATTTCCAGTTTCGACCATCACTAATTCTCATATCGTTATATTGTAACTGGGATTTTATGTATAGAGTTCACCAAGAGCAGTGAGGGTGATTTCTACATGGTGGATGGTGTTCGGCTGTCAGAGAGCGGAATGTATCAGATCAGAGCCTTGACTATGGAGCAGCAGTCTCAGCCACGTCGCCGCAGACCTAACAGCCGCAGACAAGGCAGTTCTGCGGACATTCTTGCCACTATAGAGTCTGTCATTGCTGGAGGCACAAACTACGCTGGTAAACACATTGGATTAGGCCTACTATTAATTTGTTAAAAGTTGTGACTAGGGGTACAGAAACTTTCAGATTGGCACGGTACGTTGTTTGGTACCTCGGTTCTCGGTATAAAATCAGTACAATACGCGGTTACCAATATGTTTGCAGTTTTCTTCTCAGAATAGTTTTTAAACCATTATTTTGATACATTTGCATTACATCATTACATATTACATCTATCATTATGCATTACATTGCTTATGATGAAGATGGATGGAAGAATTTTAAGAGCAAAACATGGTTACTTAAGAAGCAACAATTTTACAAGATAATATGACACAACTGGTAAATTTATTCCCTCATGCTAGTAATAAAGGAATACTGTTATTTAAATTCTTAATTGAAAGAAAACCATTCCTCCCAAAAATAAACATTTTGATATAAAATCTGTTATACAGTACTCCTTTTTTTAAATTTTCTTTAAAATTAAAATATTTTATTACTTATCTTTCAAATAATAACATTTATGGTAATGTATTGTTATATTTATTATTTCAAAATGTTTGTATTCTTAGTCTATGACTACTAATTTTCATTAAACATTCTACCTTTTGATTAAAATGACATCGATTGGCTGATGACATGTATCCTTTACTTAGTTTCTATATTTGTAATCCTTTTATGTACAGTGGACTCCCTCTTATCCGGACTCCTCAGGACTGTGGCCAGGATAACGGGTTTTCCGGTTAAACCGACACCCCCAAAAACTCGTTAAAACGGACTGTTTACTGTGATATTCAACTTAAATTTAGGAGAGCATTGTATTTAGACACGTGAACACTGGTCTCAAATCTTTCCCACAAGAACAGTCGTTTCAGTACCGCCCACTTCCTGCCGATCTAGTCCGGTTAAACCAATGTGCTGATAAAAATTGTCCGGTTAAAGAGATGTAATTTCCGCCGAGTGTAGTCCGGTTTAAAGGTGTCCGGATAAGAGGGAGTCTACTGTACTAATACAATTATATTTAACATCATAACATTAAATTGCATTTTGAAAGCAAGTTTGAGATGGCTTAACTTACTATAAGGTATTACAAAAAATTCATTATATAAGAAAGTTTGGCTCAGGCTTGGCTCGATACAAAATCTCATGCTCACAATCCTCTATTCATTACATTGGTAACTACTAAAAAAAAAAATACAAGGGTCGTTTTTTAAGTAAGGGCTGGGAGATTCAATAATTAAAAAAATTTTCTAAACAAACAACAAAGCGTACATGTGAGCTACAGAGCTGCAAATGACTCTGTTCTGTGTATAAATGCCAGTAAGCAGCGAAGAGTCTTGTTGCGACATAAACACAAACTAAGAAGCTATACGTACAAACGGCCTTTGTATCTAGACCTAGTAAACTGTTTTTGATACCATAGTGCAAGAGGAACAGCTAACAGGCGATTTACTGATCTTCATTGGTATTAGATGACGATGGAGACGGAGATGAGGAAGCAGCTCCAGAGAAGGTGTACCGGGAAGGGATGCCAGTGTTCCCTCGGGCTGATGGGCGACCCCCCGAGCCACCGGAGGGGTTCACTATTTATACTACCGAGTCAGGAGCCATGGTTCTGCGACGCAAGAGGGTCCGCAATCTGCAGAGGCTGGGTGAGCAAACAGATAAACATAATTGGATACTTTAGTATTACACCGACCACACCGATAAATCAACTTGCAAATAAGATTTAAATTAGTTTAAATAATAACCAAATCAATAACCAATAACCAAATAATAACCTAACCCAAAACATTGTCCACCCTTAGGTTAGGTTAGTTTAGGTTATTATTAGGTGTGGTCGGTATAATACCAATACCAAAGTACCCATAGTTGTATAACGCTAATCAAAATTTCAAAATAAGAATTAAGAGTGAGTTTTATTACACAACCCTTACTGCACTGTAGACAAATATACTCGCCGAATTTCCCTTTGCTCAAAACGCTATTGACGACTATAATACTCGCCTTTTA